GACTTGCATTAGTCTATCCCCCTGCCCTTCACCAGACATTACTGTTTACTGGGATGGTGATATGTGATCTCCCCACCAGCCCATTAAGGGACAGAGCACCCTCTCTGGGCTGGTGATGTTTGATCTCCCCACTGGTCCTTTAAGGGACAGAGCCCTATCTGGACTGGTCCTGCTCTGCGAGCCCTGTATTTAACCATGCTTGCATCAAAACTTCAGGATATTCCATGCTATCATAGGCATTCCATTCTGTCATTCCTTGTCGTAGGTCCCTTATTTTTATAACAACATGAAACTTCCTTAGGACATGGGCATGGATTAAGACATTAGCTCATGTGACATATGTAGACCTTTACAAAACAAATAATTCATGCAACACAAGGCCTGTATATCAGATAATGTAATGTACAAAATGCAAAAGAGTAAAGATAAAAATGCAAATTATATTTTCGTTAGATTGCTTTCGATTGCCATATTCATTGCTTGTGTTTTATGGCTGATCATTACTGAATTAACTGCTTGTGTGTTTTATTTCCTTTACGGTTCCTATTAATATTTATTTTAAATGTCGAACCTTGTACTTAAGGTCAGCACATAATATAGTTAAAAAATGCAAATGAGTAAATTCAAAACACACATTATTTTAAGTTAGATTGCAAATCTTTATGGGAAACATAATTTTTGCAAAAGTTAACAGATTGATCAATGCTCTAATAGTTATGTATATTGATTTTTTTTCTGCATTTCATGTTTTTTTAGTTTCTTAACTTCGATTGTTTAAGTGTGGACATTCTAGCTGTAACTGTAAGCTCGTTTGATCAAGGTCCTCATCAACCTTTTGTTCCTGCAACAATTTGTAGTTGTCTCATTTATTGTTAAATTTTCTCCTTATAATATTATAAAGCATTGCGGAATAAGTTGTCGCTATATAGATGGCAGTAATCATAATGATCACTATATAAAAAAATGAGGTAGAGGCAAAATAACTGCCTGCAATGATTTTAAAGCAAATAACAAAGACGAGCAGTACTGCAGCAACTCCACACTGTAGTTCCACCAGTGTATAATAGCAACAAAAGGAGAAAAAATTAATCATGCGCAACTGATGTCAGCCGACGGGAGAGACCTAATGCGCATGCGCATTATTCAATGCTTTCCTATGGGTAAAAATCTGATGCTGGAGGTCCTCATGCAAAGTGTGAGGATCTCCAGCATCAGATAAAGAACTAGAGTCCGTTTCAAAACAGGAAGCTCTTTAGTGGCTATCTGGTAGACAGCCACTAGAGGTGGAGTTAACCCTGGATAGTAATTGTATCTAATCTTTCAAGATTATTTTGTTTCAGGTATTGTACCGGAGGATTGTTGGAAGGCAAATGTTGTTCCTATATTTTAAAAGGGTTCAAAATCCTTGCCTGGAAATTATAGACCTGTGAGCTTAACTTCCCTGACTGGGAAAATATTTGAAGGGCTATTAAGGGATAATATTCAGGAATTCATTGGGAATAACTTTGTTATTAGCAATAATCAGCATGGTTTTATGCAACATACGTCATGTCAAACTAACATAATTGCTTTCTACAAAGAAGTAGAAGTATAGATCAGGGTGTTGCAGTGGATGTGATCTATTTGGATTTTGACAAGCCTTTTGAAATGGTTCCTCACAATAGGTTAGTCTTCAAACTAAAAGAAACTGGTTTAGATGGAAATTCTTGTCTTTGGGTACAACATTGGCTTAAGGAGTACAACGAGTTGTCATTAATGGTACATTTTCAAGCTGGACAAAAGTGGTAAGTGGTGTCCCTCAGGGTTCTGTTTTGGGACCGCTTCTATTTAACATATTTAAAAATGATCTTGAAATAGGCATTGAAAGCCATGTTTCAGTGTTTGCAGATGACACAAAACTTTGTAAAGTGATAAAATGTGAGCAGGATATTGCTTTGCTGCAGAGGGATTTAGATAGATTTGGGGACTAGGCACTGAACTGGCAGATGAAATTTAATGTTGAGAAATGCAAAGTTATGCAATTCGGGGTCAAGAATGCACAAGCAACTTACACCCTAAATGGTAGTGAATTAGGGGTAAGCACACACGAAAAGGATTTAGGAATTGTTATAGACAACAATTTAGGCAGCAATATGCAATGTCAATCTGCAGTTGCTAAGGTAAGGTTTTGTAAGGTTTTGTCATGTATAAATAGGAGCATAAATTCTCAGGATGAAAATATAATTTTGCCTCTTTATAAATCGCTGGTAAGACCACAACTTGAATATGCTGTGAAATTTTGGGCACCTATTCTAAAGAAGGATACATTGGCACTAGAAAAAGTGCAGAGATGATCTACAAAATTGATAAAAGGAATGGAGCATTTTAGTTACAAAGAAAGGTTAAAAAATTGAAATCTCTTTAGTATGGAAAAACGGCGAATCAGAGGGGATATGATAACATTATACAAATATATTCAGGGCCAGTACAAACCATTATCTGGAAAACTATTCATAAACATGACTATACATAGGACACAAGGTCACGCATTTAGGCTGGAAGAAAGGAGATTTAATCTTAGGCAAAGAAAAGGTTTTTATTACAGTAAGTATAATAAGGATATGGAATTCTCTGCCTGAAGAGGTGGTTTTATCAGAGTCCATACAGATGTTTAAACAGCAATTGGATAACTACTTCCAAAAAGATAACATACAGGGATATAATTTCTAATTAGTGGGGTAATAGCTGCTTGATCCAAGGAGATATCTGACTGCCATTTTTGGGTCAAGAAGGAATTTTTTTTCCTAGTTTGTTGTAAAATTGGAAGCACTTCAGACTGGGTTTTTTGCCTTCTTTTGTATCAACAGCAAAAACATATATGAGGAAGGCTGAACTTTTTGGACACAAGTCTCTTTTCAGCTATGTAACTATATAACTATGTAATTATTGCAGTTATTGCAGTTTATCAATAATTGCAATAATTACTATTGCTGGGTTAAGGGATATGGGACATTGCACCCAGACCTCTTCAATGAGCTGAAGTGATCTGGGTGCCTACAGTGTCCCTTTAAGGGCGGAGGTATATATCCCGACTCTTGGCAGGACATGATCGTTAGGACATGCTAAGCTGCCCTAATACGTTAAGGCCATGCATTTGCAGTGTGGCATAGCACACCCTAACGGCGCTAGTTCATTAAAATCAGGACAAATATGGACACCTTTGTTACTGCTAAAGTGCTTTCTAAAATTTTTTTTTTTTAAATGAAAATATAAAACCATTTACTTTTTATTCAAGTAAACAATTGGACAAAAGCATGAGTGAACAAAACAGCCTAAATATCTAATATTGTATCTATATTTTAGTATGTTTCCCATATTACACAGTTCTGTACAATCCACAAATTAAGCATTCAATGTAATTACATAGTGATTTTTCTCCTTTGCCTGGGAACCTTGTTTTACGACCTATAAATGTTCCTGCTAATTATATGCAGAACTTATTAAATGAACTGTGCGCAAATCTTTTCTGTTTGTTCATTCTCACAGATAGAAACCATTGCAGAATTCAGCCATCCCGTCTGGTTAATTTTTAATTCTTCTTTAAACATTAACTTTATTAGATAAGGGTAATTTTGTGCTGGAACAATATTACACAATGATGTTCAATGATGGCATATGTAGCTTTGATTTGTATAGTTTTATAATACATAGAAAAAAAAAAAATAATTAAAGTATTGAGCGTGATAGAGTAGAGCTCTATGCAAAGATACATTATGAGCTATTTTTGTATTCCCCTATGTAACTAAATTTATTTCTCTAGTTTTCCAAAAATGTTTAATTTTTTTAACTTAAAGGCATTTTATATGCAGGAACCCCGACCACTTAAAACTCCACCTCTAGCTGTCTTACTAATGGAGCTTTACTCAGTTAAAAGGCGTGGACATCCTTATTTTTTTCATAAGGATGTCTAACATCCTCAAATTCCATTCATTCGATGCTTTAATGTGCACCATCGTCGTGAAGGAGCCTCAACAATGGAAAGAGGCAAATTTAAAAAAAAAAGGATTTTACACTCCTTAATTGGCCAATGCGGGTTAGAGGGGCACCTCTAAAACTAGGCAATGGGAAGTTTGTATTCCTAACGCTTGCACCTGGATGCAAGGTGAGCCCTTGTCAAGTCATGGAAGAATATTGATCCACCATCTTGGAGTGTATGAACTGATGTAAAGGTTCTGGGTACCTACCAGAATCACGTGCTAGAGCAGTAGTCCTCAAACCAGTCCTCAGGTACCTCCTACCAGTCCAGTATTTATGGATTACCCTGCTGGGTCTAAAGTGTTTTTTTTTTTCTTCTAAAAATACCTTAGATACAGCTGGGCTATCCCTATATCCTGGACTGTTAGTGGGTACTTGAGGACTAGGTTGGGAACCACTGTACTAGAGTACAAAACATGTGACTGGTTTGTATGTCATTTTAATTTTATTTCTAGTCTTTAAGAAAAATGTGAATAACAACAAAATATGTCTATCAAAGATCTCACAAGACCGCAGGATCCTGCATAGATATTGTTGTGCAATAGTTCTAACCATCAATTGGCCAGTGTGCAGGAAGCTACCAATTCGCATACACAGATTTAATTTTTTATTATATACACAATTGTTAAATAAATGTAATAAATCTAGAAATTTATTATTAAAGGATGCTTTTAACCCATTTTCCTTTATCCCATAAAATCCAGTCTGTCTAGTATCCAACTCCCATCTGTAATTTTGCTACCTCTTAAATTTCTCGCTGAATGTTTCCATCCAGCTATTCTCTGCAGATGCCTCAGTTTAGTAATTGACAGAGGTTATCTATGTAACATAGTAACACATATTTCCTTTGATATTTATTTTTAAGGAAACATCCAATTGGTTTTTCAAAATCTACTCCCCTGCTTTCATCATTTCTGTCAAACGGAGTTTGGAAATAAAATCCAAGATTGAACTTAAAAGCCATGTTATATTCTTTCGGTGATGGTCCTAATCCTTGTATGAATGAAAACTGAAATTATCCCTAATGTTTGTCACCTGTAAGGTATTACAAGGCAGCATAAATCTGTGTTTTTTTTAAAGCCAGAGGTTGGTCTGTATGTAACTACATGCAATACATTGAATTACAACCCAGTAAATTCCCTAATCTGGAAACTGCTAGGTTTTAATGGCCATAGTTTATTTTAAGCTGTCAAAGGTGTGTTATTTTTTCTCTTAATTTGTTGAAATCAACTAAATATTATTTTACAGTTTATTTCTTACAAAAATATACAACAGCATATGGAATTCTGCTTCATGTGTGTCAAAGACATACACCGTGTATGCATCAGGCAAAAGTGTATATTGACGGACTTCCTTCTGACTTTAGTTGGTTTATATATTTGCTGAATGGTATCATGCAATGGAAGACTTCATCAGGTCAATAGTGGCATTACTGTAAATCCCATAAAGAAGGCATATGGAACTAGAATGTCCTTTTCCTTCCACTTGAATAGAAATGTGATGAATGGTTAATATGGCAAAAATTTGCATTTTGCTTTCAAAATGTTATAATAATGTCAAAGAATATTGTATCTATTATCTGTTTATCTTCCAAAAGCTTGTCATTCCAAAATGTTGTTAGTCTAATAAAAATAATAGAAAAAGTATTACAAAGGTATTCCATCTGTTTCACTCTACATCTGCATTACTGGCTACAATTTATACTCCAACATTATTACTGGCTGAAAGCGGATATGGCTCACATGACAAAATCCTACCAGTGGTTGGAAAAGGCAGAACTAAAAGACAGCACTGATGTACTAATCCTAACAGCACGGGAACAGGCACTCAGCACCAGATCAATAGAAGCTGGGGTCTACAACACCAGGCAAGACCTAAGGTGCAGACTGTGCAAAGAGGCCTCTGAGACAATCCAGCACATTGTGGCCGGATTCAAATTAGCAGGTAAAGTATACACTCAGAGGCCAAACCAAGTTGCTGGGATTATGTACCAAAATATCTACACTGAATATGGGCTGGACCTTATGGATCTACAGATGGGAGATACCACAAAGGGTAGTTGAGAATGACAGGGCTAAGATCCTGTAGGACATTCAGATCCATAAAGACAAATTTGTACTGATCAACCTGCCGTTGTGATAGACAAGATGGACAAAAAAAACAAGGACTTAAGAGCTAGAAAGGATGTGGAAAGTGAAGGCAGTAGTAGTCCTAGTTGTGATAGGAGCACTCAGGGAAGTGACTCCCAAGTTGGCTGAGTGGCTTCAGCAGATTCCAGGTCTGAGATCGTCTGAGATTGCTGTCTGAATGAATGCAATTCTAGGTAGCAGCTAAGATACTCTGCAGAATCCTCAGGCTCCCAGGCCTCTACTAGAAGCCAAGAATTAGGAATATATACCACCCTGGAGGGTGTGAGAAAATCAGTAAAGTTTTATTAAAATGTATAAATTACTTATTTATTTAAATATTTAAATGGCCTAACATTCCCCACCCTTTGACAGGTGCCAACGATATAATCAATATTATTCACCTATCAGTGGTAATAATGTTATAATGTTGTGACTGATCAGTGTATGTCCACGGTATTTGTGGTACATTGTACATTAGATTACACGTTTATGGCACCGGTATAATTTCTTGTATATATTATTTTGTTTTGTCACAACCACCTTTTTAGCTGAGCTTTAAGAGTTAAGATTGTAAACTCTCTTGGGCAGGGCACTCTTTTCAACGTTTGTTACTGTTATCACTTGTCATTTGTCTTTTATATTCTGCTTGTTACCGATTGTAAAATTGTAAAGAACTGCGTAAAATGTTGATGCTATATATAAATGCTAATAATAATAACTGCGCACCTGTAATTGTTTTTTTTTTGTGTGTGTAAAAATAATCACCATGGTGTATGGGGATTATATCACTATGCAGGATGTGTGACATGTCATGATTCCCTTTTATTCCAGAAGTTTGGTCCTTAAGGGGTTAAAGAACTTTAGCTTGCTGAAATGCTTTATGTGTGAAGAATGTGGAGAAATAATTCAATAGAAATTGGCACTTTTATAAATTAACTTAGTTACACCCCCCTGGCTGTCAATCAGACACCATGTTCTGTTACTTCCTGGTTTGGTTAGCTCAGTGTAGCTAAACTCAAGAGGCAGCAATTCCCCAAAGCATTTGCATTGCAAAGACTTCTTCTCATTGAGCTGAATTTGGAAGTCTGTGATTGGACAGCCACAGAGAGTCTGGGTGCGGTTCGAAAGGAAGAGCTTGCAAAAGCAGCATACCTGAGAACTAGAGCATTTGCAAGCTGTTTTGAGATATACCCTAGATGAAAAATAAAGCATAATTAAAGGTATGAATGTTTTCATTTGGGTTATATATACTAAACAGTGATGTTTATATGTTTATTTGTACAGTGGAGTGTTTCCAACAAATTGGCCACATGTCCCTTGGAAGACCATCAACAACTCTTTTGTGGTTTTGATCAGATTTCCGAACTAAATTAAGACATCATTATGGTTTGATCCAGGGATAATCTAATGTGATTCAGTACTTTGACCCCAGGTCATGTTAATCTTGGCTGCTCATGTGGTTGTTTGTGAAGTTTCTGTGAACAAAACTTTGCCCTAAACACAAGAAGAACTGCAGCTTATCCAGCTAATGAGAATTGTGGAGCAATCGCTGCCTGTGTCTGTGATTTTACTATTTTTTATTTTTTTTTACTAAACCGTGATTTTATCAATCCCTGGCTTTGAAACGTCTTAAGATCTAATTTTAGCACACTTTTTTCTTCTAAGATATTCTCAGAGTTACAGGTTTGTAAATGACATTAACATGATGCAGAGCTGTCTAAATCAAACATTTTTCCCCAAGGGAATCCAAATTAGTTGTAGCAAACAATAATCTCGAAAAAAAGGAGATTTACTAAACTGATATAACCCTAAGGCATTTATTCACTAAACTGGAACATGTGGACAAATTACAAGGTAATTACAGATTTGATGCCAAAATAGCTGAACAAGAGATTTCTTGTTTCACATTTTCACTCTTTTGGCCTACGTTTGCAATCCCCTAGTCAATTCTATACAAGTCACAGTTTAGTGAATAAACCCTGAGAGATCTCCACCCCATGGAAATTCATTTGTTGTGTGATCACAGATGCTATTCAAAATAATGGAAATTAGACTGCATTCAATGGAAAGAAACTTCCTGCGGGTTCAAAATCTCCCCTGCTGTTTTAGCAGTTTATTCATTAAATTGAAAATTATAGAGAATCGACAAGGAAACTGAACATTTTAGACCAAAGTAGTCACATTCTGAAAATTCTCAATTTTTAATTTTTTATGCAAGGTAGCTACAAGGTGCTTCCAAAACAGCTCTCATGCATCGAGGACTCCTCAAGACCTCTGAACATATCATGCGGTATCTGGCACCAAGACATGCGCAGTAGATCCTTTAAGTCCTGCAAGTTGCGAGGTGGGATATATTGAATATGTGGTTTCAGCAACACCTTGGACTTTCTGTTATGATCCTAAAACCATTCCTGAACAATGTTTGAAGTGTGGCATGGTAAATTATCCTGCAGAGAACACCATTGCCATGGTGTTCTGCAACAATCTCTAGGTAGGTGTTATGTGTCAAGTTAACATCCACGTGACTGCCAGGACCCAAGATTTCCCAGCAGAGCATTATCCAGGGCATAGCACTGCCTCAAATGGTCTGCCTTCTTCCCATAGGGCATCCTGCGGCCATATTTTCCTCAGACCATCCACCTGATTTAAAAGAAAAAGTGATTCATCAAACTAGGCAACCTTCTTCCATTGCTTCATGGTCCACTTCTGACGCTCACGTACTTATTGAAGGCGCTTTTGGCAGTGGACAGGGGTCATCATGGGCACTTTTGCCGGTCTGCAGCTATGCAGCTCTATACACAGCAAACTGAAATGCACTGTGTGTTCTGACACCTTTCTATCATGACCAGCATTATGTTTATCAGTAATATGAACTACAGTAGCTCTTCTGTGAGGTTGAACCAGATGGACTAACTTTCGCCCCCCACATGCATCGAAGAGCCTTTGATGCCCATTACCCCGATGCTGGTTCACCTGTTGTCTTTCTTTGCACCATTTGTGGTAGGTACGAACCACTGTATACTGGGATCACCCCTCAAGACATGTCGTTTGGGAAGTGTTCTGACCCAGTCGTCTAGCTATTACTATTTGGCCCTTGTCAAAGTCACTCAGATCTTTTCACTTGCCCATTATTCTTGTTTCCAACACATGAAATTTATGAACTGACAGTTGACGTCTGCCTAATATATACCACCCCTTAATAGGTACCATTGTAATGTTGTAATCATTATTATTCACTTAACCTCTATTTGCCATTTTTCAAAGAAATACTTTGGACTTAAGAAAGGGAGGATCTCCTGAAAGCTTGTCATTCCAAAATGATGTTAGTGCAATAAAAAAGGTATTGCAAGATACTAATTTAATCTGTTATTTTACTGTATATCTACATCACTGGTCTAATACGCTAAACTTTATAATCCAATATAGAACTTTGTAGAACTAATTACGAATGTAGAGCTAAACTGATTAGAATGTAGAACATGAACTAATTTGCTGCAGTGGTCATATCATATTGCATTAGGTAGGGATCTGTAAAAAACATTCAATAAATGAGACTTTCTCATTTGTACAATGCTCAAAGTTTGTAGGAATAAGTACAAATTGTAATAAAAGGTACACAATGCTCCAGTGTAAAGGAGAAGTCATAAGCCATAGAGGATTATTTAGTAAAGAGAGAATTCAATGTGAATTGAAAGTCAATTTCAAATCTAAGGCCAAAGTGGTCCAACTGGAAGCATTGCTGATTTTTTCCAGTTCAGCTGTTTGGACCTTAAATTTGAAATTCACTTAGAATTCTCACGTTAGGGAATATCCCTGTAAATAGACTAAAGTCAAAAACAAAGACATAATGAATCTTAGTGAGAAATTGTGTTTTCCGTTAGGTGCCATGAACGGTGTTGTGATGCTCTTTAACTTCCATAATTCCTTTATTTTAAGGGGGTGATATCTCTGTCCTGCACCCACTTAGTGTGTGCTATGTTAAAGACAGTTAGAGATGGAATGTGATGTCCTGTGTTGGTGCTGGTACAGTAAAGTGGGATCTGGAAAAGATATTTGCACTTGGGCACATCTTGTCCTCTTGGTTCTTCTAAACATCGAAGTATCCTCTAATCCCTCTACACAACAGATAAACATTTGGGTTATAGAAAAAAAACCAAGAGAGAGGGAATGCAACAATGGAGCCCTCCCCACCCCCCCTCCAAAAAAAAACAACGTTGCATCTGTGTTCCCTTCTCCTATATTGCTTCCCTGTCTGCTGCAGCTCTGTAAATCAATATTGATTCAGTTTTAAGAATTCAGGAGAATTGCGATTGACTTTAACCCCTTAAGGACCAAACTTCTGGAATAAAAGGGAATCATGACATGTCACACATGTCATGTGTCCTTAAGGGGTTAAGTTAAATAAGTAAATAACCTAAAGGAAAATTTTGGGATTTTCTAGGAATCTACTCTGGACTGTAAACTGCTGTCAACCTTCCATCTTCAGGTTATGGTTTGGTCTAAGTAGGGAGTCCTTTCTCCCAAACAGAGGAGGTCATATCACACTCAGTGGGTAGCACAGGGTAGGTGTTAGATCCCAAATTCCTGGCCAGTGACCCCAACATTCCAGGGCCATGATTAAAAGATGAATACAGCTGAATATGCATTGCAAAATAATAATATAGCCCAATGAAACAGGTTAACTAGAGCTAGGTGAAACCTTTTTTTTTGAAAAGCTGACTAGACCTGCCATGGTGTGGACCTCTGACCTTTAGGCAGAACTAGATCTCTGCAGGATACACTAATCCACTTATCCATCCTAGAAGCTGTGCAGAGAACCTTCACATTAAACTTTTCAACAGTTTGAAAGACCAAACTACACCTGTAACAATTGCTAACCTTTTTTTTTAGGCAATTCTGCATACTTTTATTTCACTCCCCAACTATTCAGGGCAAACTTATCATACACTTAGTTTGCAAAAGTAAAACAACACTTGCGTCATGTGTATGTACTTCCTCAGCTAAATATGCAGATATCTAATTGGCTTTTAGCAAAGTGAGAGTCAGCTCAGGATGCGTAAGAGCTGTTATGGCAAGCCTACTTTGTCACTAAACCCGTGACCCATGGATCTGTTGCGGGGATGCCCAACATTAAATGGAAAAGTGTAAGGGCAACACAACCACCCCTGCCCTGTCCCATATTAAGACTCTCAAAACTTTGGAGATTGGATGGTATGCTTACACTATTTTGTTTATTGTCCATCAATAAATATATGTACATAGTGTGAGGCATGATTTCAGCAAGTAACATTATAAAAAAAATTTCTGTTCATGCTTTTCACAAGATTTGTAAATAAGAAACATATCATTGTATCCTTTGAGAAAAAAAACAACTAAGTAAATTAATAAGTATAATATTAAATCTAAAGTTCTGATTGAAACCATATTGGGATGCAAAAGAGGAGAGTATTAGCCAAAATATACATTTTTTTTTTTTTTGCTTTAACCTTGAAGACCTGTGTCATTTGAGACACTGATAAGAGCTTTGAAAACTGGACGTGTCCACCTGTGTTTGTTAAACAATATTGCTGATGTTAAAATCCGATATGTGTGAGCACTGACAGCTGCGGAATACATTAAAACTCCTCTCTATAACTGCCCAGTTCCCGTATCCAGATCTGTGTCATTTTTTCTGATGATGTGCTCCTGGGAGCAGACAGCATGAGTGCCTCAGATGATGGAATACTTGCAAGATTTACAAATATTTATTCTAATAGTAAAAGATGTCTTAGACCTCAGGAATGGGCTTTGCACTGCCTGGGTATTTGTTTGTCATGTTGCCACGGTAACAGTCCCTACTAATAATAGAATGCTGGAGGGAGTCCAGAATGAATCTCCGCACATTTTTTCCTTATGCATAATGTACTGTAATGTTTGACAACTAAATGAATCAGATGGCAGTGTAAAAAAAAAAAAACTTAATTGAAAGGATGTGAGGATGGGGATGGTACGTATGCCAAATTAACTCTTATTTTGCCAAATGATTATGTCTTTCATAATTCAAGTTAATACACATGAAAAAAATGCATTCATAAGCCAAACTGCTATCAGAAAAAAATGCAGTAAAAAAAATGAGCCACCGCCTTCGGCTTTATTCACTAAATTGGTAAACTGGGGCGAACTAAAAGGGGAACTGCAAAACAACAGAACCGGGCTAGAAAGAAAAATCTGCGATTCAGTAATTTATCCTGGTTGACTATTTGTCCCTAATTTTTTGCTGCAATTTTCTTGTTACTTTTCCAAAATTCCTAGTTTGTAAAAGAAACCCCATTGTGCACTGCTATACGAATCTTTCATAAAGCTTTAGGCACTTGTATAGAGGGGAGAAATGTCTCTGTGATGTGCACTTCGATAATAAAAACCACATACAGAGAACTCTTTATACAGCAGGATACTATTCCAATGGAACCCTGCAGCATGGATTTCCCATATGTGTTATTTGAACAGTTGCTGTGCTCCCATGCATATCCAGGTTGCTGTTGTACATTATTCTATTGAGGAACACTTCATTCTTATTCTGAATGCTGAGAAACTGGCTTCTTAAAATACATGCTTAGTATGCTTCTCGCCTCCCAACTTGCATACACAGCTCGTCAAGCTCCAACATCCTATTGAGAGCAACAAAAGTGTTTAACAACCCACTGTCATTGTCTGCCAGCTCCAAAGGTCAGTTTCCATTACTGATTCTTCACAACCTTTCAGCGGCTTTCAACTTTATAGATCACAATTTCTCTGAGGCCCCCTCTTCACAGTCGGTATACTTGATATTGCCCTCTTCTGATTTGCGTACTACTTTTCCCACCGTTCCAATGAATGGATAAAGAGATGGGAGTTAAGCCTGTTTTTAAATATTTCCAGTAAGGGCCATCTTTGACTGTACAAAAGGAAAGCCTTCCAAAAGACCGGGAACGTTATTGTAAAGGACTCTCCACGAGAACAATGGAAGCCGGTTCTGAGAACTCTTTAAAATGCTGACTCAAAACAAATGAGAGGGCCCTCTGAGTTTAGTGAAGCAGGTAGCTGGGGCCACCGTGTTCAGAGGCCACCTTGGAAATGTGTCTTGGTAAATGAAAAATATAACCTTCCACAAATGGCTTCAAAGCAAAAACGGTTTAGGAGCTTAGGATGAAATCAAATGTACCAATCCAGAACACTCCCATCCAACAAGAACGGCAAGAAGGCTTCTTGCAAGTGCATGCGTACTTGGTCAAAAGGGTTGATCTTCTAAAAAGTTGAGTTGCAATGATTAGGCCAAAACAGACAGCTGTAACATGATTCTACACAGAGATACAAAAATAATAATAACTCACAGACATCACAGTGTAGTGTGTAGCAAGAAGTGTTTATTAAACCATAAAGACAAAAAAAAAAAACTAAAGAACATATAATGTTTCAGCAAAATGTTCAAAATATTGTAAAATAGTTTTTTTTTGGAATGGGAAGGGAAGGTGACAAATGAAATAGGTCAAGGTTTATCCAAGCTGTTTTACTGCCGTATTACTGCTGTACAGGGGTACAGACTGCTTAATTCTGTGGATCCTACTTCCCTTGTGTTATAAAATATCATTAAAAATAATAACTTATATATTAACACCCTTCCAATA